GCTATTTTCAAAACTAAATGTGATTAAGGAGCGTCAGCGTTTAACATTAAGATATTAAACAACACCACGCGTTGAAAGTGACATCCTGAGCAAGTAGTATATAAATCAGTTGTCTCCCTTTCTTAAACGGAGGTCCGCTGGTATAACGGTCTATAGGCCGTCAGCTGTGAGATAGTTGTGGAGTTAAAGAGCTCCCAGCTAATTGACGTTCACTGATGTGTGAAATGATCGCTGGCCTTAGAAGCCGATTTGGCTGATGGGTCGATGGGCTTTATATCGAACTTGACCTCTTTTGGACTAGGTGCGCGTAAAAAATTGAATGCAATGTAGTGATTGTCGAGGGTTCTGTTCCAAAAGATATTACTATTATTATAATATTAGTGTGTAAATATATCAAATTAGGGCGTTATCCTTATCTTAAGTCCTTGTAAAATCGATTAAGTTGTGCGAGTGGTCTCGAGTTGTGTATATTTCAATGCGAGTTGCCTCGAGGTGTGTATATTTCAATCTTAATGCTCTGTTGGAATTCCGATACAGAGAGTGGGTGAGTGAGTATGGTTTTACGCCGCTTTTAGCAATATTCCAGCAATATCATGGCGGGGGACACCAGAAATGGGCTCCACACATTCTACCCATGTCGGGAATCGAACCCGGGTCTTCGGCGTGACGAGCGAACGCTTTAACCACTAGGCTACCTGACCGCCCCCGATACAGAGAAGACTCATCAGATGTGTGTTCGCTGTCAGCAATATTCAGCTACATGACGACGAAATGTAAAACATCGGACCAGACAAACCAGTGATTTATATCACGTACAACATCCCACACCGCAGATCCGTGATCACACGCAATCAAACCAAGTCACTGACTGGCTGGGGTTTGTGTTTGAGACAATATTTATTTAGTCAGAGCCCGAAAACGTATACTTCTTTTCTTCTCGGATTATTTTCGTTCCACCCATCATGTCCCGTGATAATAATAACACAATATAAAATTGATGTTCAGCAACCCATGCTTGTCTTAAGAAGCGACTTACGGCATCGGGTGGTCAGATTCACTGATTGGGTTGATGCATGTCATTGTATCCCAACTGCGTGGATCACTGTTCATGATGTCAATCACTGGATTGTCTGGCCCAGACTTTATAATTTACAGACCGCCGTCATATAGCTGAAAAATTGCTGTGTTCGGAGTTAAACACCAAACAAACAAAACAAACTAAACACATAGTAGCACTGATAGGACACTTGCAATATAATAGAATTCTCGACTTGTAGGGGAGACCAGGGCAAAACGCACTCTTTAACACATTCGTATAAATACTGTAGTGCTTAACAAAGATATAATTAAACTCACGACACCGCTGAAACAACCTTTCAGTTGCCACTCATATGGTACATGTTATTAAAGTGTCAGTCTCTGTATAAAGTTCTATCTCTGAAATTGTGTTCCAACAAACACTGGCCACTTTAAACCATAAAAATATTCCAGTTTTACACATTTCTGTAATGCTATTTTCAAAACTAAATGTGATTAAGGAGCGTCAGCGTTTAACATTAAGATATTAAACAACACCACGCGTTGAAAGTGACATCCTGAGCAAGTAGTATATAAATCAGTTGTCTCCCTTTCTTAAACGGAGGTCCGCTGGTATAACGGTCTATAGGCCGTCAGCTGTGAGATAGTTGTGGAGTTAAAGAGCTCCCAGCTAATTGACGTTCACTGATGTGTGAAATGATCGCTGGCCTTAGAAGCCGATTTGGCTGATGGGTCGATGGGCTTTATATCGAACTTGACCTCTTTTGGACTAGGTGCGCGTAAAAAATTGGATGCAATGTAGTGATTGTCGAGGGTTCTGTTCCAAAAGATATTACTATTATTATAATATTAGTGTGTAAATATATCAAATTAGGGCGTTATCCTTATCTTAAGTCCTTGTAAAATCGATTAAGTTGTGCGAGTGGTCTCGAGTTGTGTATATTTCAATGCGAGTTGCCTCGAGGTGTGTATATTTCAATCTTAATGCTCTGTTGGAATTCCGATACAGAGAGTGGGTGAGTGAGTATGGTTTTACGCCGCTTTTAGCAATATTCCAGCAATATCATGGCGGGGGACACCAGAAATGGGCTCCACACATTCTACCCATGTCGGGAATCGAACCCGGGTCTTCGGCGTGACGAGCGAACGCTTTAACCACTAGGCTACCTGACCGCCCCCGATACAGAGAAGACTCATCAGATGTGTGTTCGCTGTCAGCAATATTCAGCTACATGACGACGAAATGTAAAACATCGGACCAGACAAACCAGTGATTTATATCACGTACAACATCCCACACCGCAGATCCGTGATCACACGCAATCAAACCAAGTCACTGACTGGCTGGGGTTTGTGTTTGAGACAATATTTATTTAGTCAGAGCCCGAAAACGTATACTTCTTTTCTTCTCGGATTATTTTCGTTCCACCCATCATGTCCCGTGATAATAATAACACAATATAAAATTGATGTTCAGCAACCCATGCTTGTCGTAAGAAGCGACTTACGGCATCGGGTGGTCAGATTCACTGATTTGGTTGATGCATGTCATTGTATCCCAACTGCGTGGATCACTGTTCATGATATCAATCACTGGATTGTCTGGCCCAGACTATAATTTACAGACGGCCATCATATAGCTGAAAAATTGCTGTGTTCGGAGTTAAACACCAAACAAACAAAACAAACTTAATACATAGTAGCACCGATAGGACACTTGCAATATAATAGAATTCTCGACTTGTAGGGGAGACCAGGGCAAAACGCACTCTTTAACACATTCGTATAAATGCTGTAGTGCTAAACAAAGATATAATTAAACTCATGACACCGCTGAAACAACCTTTCAGTTGCCACTCATATGGTAGTCAGTCTCTGTATAAAGTTCTATCTATGAAATTGTGTTCCAACAAACACTGGCCACTTTAAACCATAAACAAATTCCAGTTTTACACATTTCTGTAATGCTATTTTCAATACTAAATGTGATTGAAGAGCGTCAGCGTTTAACATTAAGATATTAAACAACACCACGCGTTGAAAGTGACATCCTGAGCAAGTAGTATATAAATCAGTTGTCTCCCTTTCTTAAACGGAGGTCCGCTGGTATAACGGTCTAGGCCGTCAGCTGTGAGATAGTTGTGGAGTTAAAGAGCTCCCAGCTAATTGACGTTCACTGATGTGTGAAATGATTGCTGGCCTTAGAAGCCGATTTGGCTGATGGGTCGATGGGCTTTATATCGAACTTGACCTCTTTTGGACTAAGTGCGCGTATAAAATGGAGTGCGAGTGGCCAAGAGGTGTGTGCATTTTCTGGTTTTGTTTTTAGAAAAAAATCCCTGCGGGGCCTCCCGATTCAGAGAAGGTTCATCAGATGTGAGTCAGGCAACAAACATACTTTTTGATATGCAAATTGTGTGAGTGGCGGGGGCTACCGATAGGGCAGGACATGCTTACATTAATCGAGGACACCTGGTGTCATCACTGATTAACAGTGATCCATTCATATAATTTTCACCAACATTCGCCTTTTACGAAATTGGTTATTCCCTGGCATTGGCATTTTACGATATGGGACCAGATAAACCTGTGATTGATAATATGTCCCAGGCCGTCCGTGTACGATGACACGCAATCAACCACTGGTCCTGAAAACCAATGATTTTCCATCTATTAACGGCATGGCAGGCTATCAGTAGTTATATGAAAGGATCGGGGAGTGCTTGATTTCTTTTGTGTGGTGTAACTGAGGATTAGATCGTTTCAACATAAAATTTCATATTTCTCAATTAGTCTGTCAAAGTGCGAGCCACAAAGCGATCGTAGCGCTAGGATGATCGTACCGCCCATACTTTTAACATGGTTGTTTTGGTTGGTTGGTGTGGTGTTAAACGCCGGACTCAGCAATATTCCAGGTATGTGACGGCTGTTTGTAAATAATCGAGTCTGGACAAGACAATCCAGTGATTACATCATGAGCATCGATCCACGCAGTTGGGATCGATGACATGCATCAACCGTGGCAAATCAGCGTGCCTGACCACCCGATCCCGTTAGTCGCCTTTTACGCCAACATAGGTTACTGAAGACCTATTCTACCTTGGAATCTTCACGGGTCACTTTTAACATGGGCTTACGACAGTCGTAGCGCTACGATCGCTTTTCGGGACTGGGCCAAAGTCAATAAATGAATAGATGACTACATTCGTCATTCTTTCACAGGTAAAATCATATGATATATTATTTAATGAGCAATTAAGACCAGAATGTAATTGTTTGTAACGACAGAGCAGGCAGTAAGACAAACATCGGGACTTGTATGTGGGGATGTTGATTGGGAGAGATCTAAACTCAAATCTTGTACTATAGTTATGACTTTTGTGTCAACAAGTCTTCAAAATAAATACATATGCTATTCACATAACCGTCCATATCAATCATAACCTTCCCAAAAATGTTTTTCATCACCTTCTTTTCTTCCACTAACCATATCAGTAGAATGGTGCTCTGAGCAGTGGGGCATCTCATCTCTCGTCCAGATACGTGTAATAAGCCCTGTCATCGTAGCTCACATGGCGACATGTTAAATTAATTAAACGTCTGAGACCTGCATCACTTCGGGCTTTCCTCCCATATTAACCTGACACGCCGTGATATAACTGGAATACTGTAAAAGCGGCGTTAAACCCAACTCACTCACGTAAAAGGAATGTTGGGGCACGGGGGTCTAGTCGTCTTAGGCACCTACATTCGCCGTGCAGAGTTGCGTCCCCTAGGCCCGCCAGAAACCTATCACCGTGGGTTCGAATTCCAGTTTTCCATGATTAGGTTTCCAGTTTTGTCAGAACCATGTCCATACTCGTGTAGTAAGGGTCTAAGACATGCATCGCTTTGGACTTTCCTGCCAAAATAATACGCAGGGATATAACTAGAATACTGTCCAAACCGGAGTTAAACAAAAATCACCCACTCACTCCAAGTATAGTATGGTAGTAAAACCATTCACAGTACCACGGATGTTCAACATGCAACATTTTAGCTCGTGGTTTAAAAAGAACTGCTTCTAGAATGTACATGTCAAAATCACATGACCAGACTGTTGACTCAAAGTAGGTTTATTGTCTCACACAGAAGGCAAGCGAGAATATTGAGTAACTAGGATCTCGTTAGTGGAGAAACACAGAACAAATGCCGCACTGCTTAAGTACACATGACACAAGGTTAAAGTATACAAACGAGAAATGGTAACTGTGCTTTATAATTCAATAAAAAGAAATAATTCTGAAATGAGTGAGTGAGTGAGTGAATGAGTATGGCTTTTCGCCGCTTTATGCAATATTCCAGCAATATCACAGTGGCATCACACATTGTACCCATGTCGGAATCGAATCCGGGTCTCCGGCGTGACGAGCGAACGCGAAATTGATGACTGAGTGCCTTGGGAATATTTTTAGGAATGAACAAAGGTTTCAGCACGATTAGTTCCCGGCTTCCGACTGCTGATCGGAAACGCTCCCGATGTTCATCATTCCAGACCCAGCTGTTTTCGTTGAACGATTTGTAACCATGGGTGAGTCCTGGGTTAACTGCTCTCAGCCAGAGACTAAACAGTCAAAGTGGGAACATCTCACCTTTCCCCGAAGCAGAAGACAAAGTCTGTTCCACCTCGGAGTTAATTATACGTGTGTCGAAAAATAAAATAATTAGCAACCACATCAATCAGCGCAGTCCATTAGTTTTGATGGGAACTTTTCCGCCATCCTCGCTTCATGTCCCTAACACAAAGCCTGAATTAATGATATTTACAAAAGCGGATTCAAACAAATGCATTTCTTATAGTTATGGACAACGCATATAAAACCTGAACATTATTTATCTCTGTTTGATGAAAAGAAAAATAGAATAGTCGTACCAGGTTTTGAAGTTCTTCGCTTAAACTTTTGAAACTGGACAATATACAAGCATTTGCAGATAACAATATTTGTCAGTTATGTTACATAAATGTAGTAAAGGATGAGTAATAGTTTCTTCTGCATGTCCACCATACGAAAAATTAAGAAATAAATATATATCAAAATGTTACTTTGTCCATAGGAAAACAACGCTTTTATAGTGTCTCCTACTCTGAAATAATAGCAATGTGCTATAGACCTGTTGCCTCTCCAGTTAACATAAGGGTTGATTTGTTGAAGTAACTATCATCTTTCACTTACTTTTAAAAGCAAGGTGCCATCCTATCTCATGTCAGAAGATCTGCCATTTTGTTAAAAGAATATGCATATGGTCTTTCGTTTCTTCTGGCAATTTGACACATGAATACATGCATGTATGAATAGTCAACAGGTATCACAGCCATTTTGCCTGTTGCCATATGTACACCAACGATATATCACAAAGACATCTAAAAAACTCCCTCATGAAAGGTAACCTGATTGTGGAAGGCATCGGGTAACCACGGCGGTGGCTGCCATCTAGCTTGGAGCAGTGGAGTCCTCATATGATGTCACCGACAGCGTATCATCTCCAAATAGGTAAATTCGTTTCCTGAGTGAAAACATTGGGCAAGCAATTTGCTGTGTCATCGTGCCATCGAACTCTAAGCATTTTTGTGACATCTCGTCATTCAACATCTGCATACAGGTTAGAAAGTCCTGTTTGTTGCCATGCTTGTCCAGAACCTTCATCAGACTGCTAATGTACAAGGATCCTTTACCTGGTATCCCATAGGAGGTGAGTCCAGAGAAGGCTGGATAGCCAACAAAGAAGTCAGCATTGTCTGGGATGAGAGACCAAGGGCTGAGGGGGTTATCAACATCGTGACGAACAGCCATGCACTTGCCAAGATCCGTGCCTCTGGAAGTCTGGAAGAAGAAGAGTTTAGGCTTCCCAGCCATATTGGGACAGCGAGTTGCCGTAAAATATGCCATGACATGTTCTAAAGGAATACTCGCACCATCAACTCCGACTAGGCGTTCCGACTGACACAAGGAGAGTATAAAGAATGCGATATTGTTAACATGTTTCAGCTTATCTCGGGATGACAACTTTTGGAAGAGAGAAACAACCTGAGAGGCTGTTACGTTTCTGTAAGTTTCACATTGAAAATTGTACTTTCCAAAACCTTCTTTAATATTTGCAACATCTGTGTCGTGCATCTTGGTCAGTTCAGCATTGGCAATTCCTGTAAGGTGTCTGTAGTTGTTGTTGCATATTATGATACAGAGGTTCTGATTTCCAGCTTTCATCATGTAAGCTGCAAAAGACAAGTCACGTTCACATCACCACCCAAACAAAATCAAAGAAATCAAACACAATTTTTAGATTGATTGAGAGAGTTTGAGATTGTCAAGAGAAATATACCCTTCACATGAAGCTCTGATCCTGCTCATTTCGTCCAGAACGAACATATTTATAATTTAGTAAATGTGCTTTCATTAACATAGACTTCCGGAAACAACTGCATAGTTAATAGTTTGTTCAATAGTTTAACTGCTGTGCATATTGAACATTTTAAATGATCGGTAGCAATGACAAATGTATCGTACATACTTGCTGGTCTCTTTGGTACTGGAGTCGATACAGACATAATATCAGACATGTGTGCCACATCAACGCCCGTGCTTTCAACATAATTTGAACTGTCCTTGGTGCTTTCTTGCATGGCCAAGTCTTCACAGAAGCACTGAAAGTCATTCTTGCTGAAGAACTGGAAGTCATTGAAGAGGTCCGGATAGGTTGACTCAAGCGATGATATCACCACTGATTGCATATCAGGCTTTTTGCATTTTAGGACTTCCGTCCATCTTTCATTATTTGCTAATGCAGGGTTTGTCAAGTCTGCATGCTGGGCCAGGGAGACCAGCCCCTTTTCGAGAAGATAGTCAGCAATCCTCTTAACTTCAACAATGTCCCTCATTCGGCAGCAAACACATGTGTCTATCTGTCCTACATGTTCTTTCTCTTGCATAGTCTGTGTGATTTGTTTTGCGAGCCAAGGGTGATGCTTTCCTATGGCAGGAATGAATATGTTTTTGGTCTGCTCTAATGTCAATTTTCCATGCATTAGTCGGAAGAAATCGTTGCTTCTTGCTTTTGGCGTACGTTTCGATAAAATGCTTTGTCTGTCGTCTTCTGTCATTAGATCAAAACCGATAAGTTCGTCGATCAGGGTTGTGTGTTCAATGTTCAATTCTTTGACGAAAGCAGTTTGACATTCTTCCAAAGCAACCTGATGTGCATTATGGGACAACTTTCTCTTCTTGGAATTACCTGAAAAACAGTCGTAAGGGTAAAACGGTATTGATATATAGATGCACCCAATAACAACGTATTGTTCTTGGAATTGTCTGAAAAAGGGGTGTAAAAAGACTCTATTGTTGAACATTGTAAGATACACCCAAACACCAAGGGTTAGGTTTATACAAGTAAAAGTTCCAAAGTAACTGACAATGATACAACCACCTTTATAATATTCTGGATGATGGAAATGATATTGTGAAACCTGTTCAGAAACAGGCACATATTACGTTACCAGCTTGTAGAGGCAAACAGTCCATGTTCCTTTGATCTTTGTTCAGGTGAACAATTGATTTGCCTTTGCATGTGTGTGACGGGTGCACCGGTGGAGCAGAATATGCTCACCTATTAGCGACACCTGGTATCATAACTATTTGATTGTGATTCACAAACACATGGTCATGATATAGATTTCTTATGACTTATGTTAATTGTTTTTTCTATATATTGAGCAGAACCAGCATGGTGACCTGGATCTTGGAGTAATATAAACTAAACCACTTTGAAGTAGGGACACATGAAAAGAATGCACCAAATTGATAATATTAGCAGTAACACTTTTTAAAACATTTGCTAAAACAATTCCCCTGAGCTACGTGGATACGTCCACGGTTGGATATCCTTCAATATGCTTTTTTAAAAGGGAGTAGAGTCGGAATATTTATCTTCTGTGTGGGGTTTCTTTTGTTAAAATCGAAATGTTCAAACTGAGGTAGAAAAGAAATTAAACAGAATCGGCTTAGCTCAAGAACGCACGCATCCTTCAATTTGAACAATATGCATAACATGAACAATCTGAATGGCTGACCTAGCCTGAGCGAGAAATAGAGCCTCATTTATGGTAGGCAAAGGAACACAAACGTGATATGTGACATATTTACCTGCTCCTGAATTTGTGTATGACGAGTCAACTACAAAGGATTTGGATCTTTCTCTGAAGTGATGCATCATGAGGCGTTCTACGCAGAGAACACTTGTCTTGAAGGTATCTGCATTTTTCTTGAAGGCACCTTGTTGAAAGAAGTCTGAACATCTCTCTGCATATGTCTTGAACCTGTATTTGAGATCTCTCATTGCACTGTTCGTGAGATCACTGAAAATATTAAACAGCTCCCTCTTTTGGACATCGTTTGCGTCCGGTAACTTGGAAAGCACAGCGTTGACAAGGGACGTTAACAACGACTCCATATTTGGAGTGTCGACCGTGTCACTATAGACGTCACTGACGGCACTCTCAGTCATCTTTCTACAGTAGCCTCTTTACCTGGAAATTATGCGTTTGTGAAATGAGTTGTATACTGTTATGGTAAAAGGGGATAAATTTCTTGTGTTTTACTAAAGTTGTGGTGGTGGAGTTTTGTGGTGGTGGTTTTTTTGGTGGTTGTGGTGGTGGTGGGGGTGTGTGGGGGGTGGGGGGGTGGGGGGGGGGGGGTTGGGGGGGGGTTGGGGGGGGGTTGGAGGGGCTCCTACACCAGTCACAGCAGCACTTCAACTTCTTTGACAACCGTGTGGTTTGTTGTGGTGGTGGCGGAAAAAAGTTCCCATTGTATCTGTGATGGACTGCGCTGCTAGGGTTGGTTGGTAGTTATTTTATTTTTCGTCACACATGTAATTACCTTCGAGGTACACATACGTCTGTCAAAGATGGTGGTGGTGGTTTGTGGTCTGTGGTTGTGGTTGTTGATTTTTACTGGTGGTTGTGGTTTGTGGTGGTTGTTTGTGGTTTGTGGTTGTGGTGGTTTGTGGTTTGTGGTTTGTGGTGGTGGTGGTTTGTGGTTTGTGGTTTGTGGTGGTGGTGGTTGTGGATCTTTACTGTTGGTTGTGGTTTGTGGTGGTTTGTGGTGGTAGTGGATTTTTACTGGTGGTTGTGGTTTGTGGTGATGGTGGTTTGTGGTGGTTTGTGGTTTGTGGTGGTGGTGGTGGTTGTGGATTTTTATTGGTGGTTGTGGTTTGTGGTTGGGTGGTTTGTGGTGGTGGTGGATTTGTACTGGTGGTTGTGGTTTGTGGTCTTTGGTGGTGATGGATTTCTACTGGTGGTGGCGGTTTGTGGTTTGTGGTGGTGGTGGTGGTGGTGGATTTTTACTGGTGGTTGTGGTTTGTGGTGGTGGTTTGTGGTTTGTAGTTTGTGGTTTCTACTGGTGGTAGTGGTGGTGGACTTTTACTGGTGGTTGTGGTTTGGGGTGGCTTGAGGTTTGTGGTTTGTGGTGGTGATTGTTTGTGGTTTGTGGTGGTGGTGGTGGATTTTTACCGGTGGTTGTGGTTTGTGGTGGTGGTGGTTTGTGGTTTGTCGCTTGTGGTGGTGGTGGATTTTTACTGCTGGTTGTGGTTTGTGGTGGTTTGTGGTTTGTGGTGGTGGATTTTTACTGGTGGTTTGTGGTTTGTGGTGGTGGTGGTTTGTGGTTTGTGGTGGTGGTGGTTGTGGATTTTTACTGGTGGTGGTGGTTTGTGGTTTGTGGTGGTGGTGGTTGTGGATTTTTACTGGTGGTTTGTGGTTTGTGGTGGTGGTGGTTGTGGATTTTTACTGGTGGTTTGTGGTTTGTGGTGGTGGTGGTGGTGGTTTGTGGTGGTGGTGGTGGTGGTGGGTTTTTACTGGTGGTTGTGGTTTGTGGTGGTGGTGGTGGTGGTTTGTGGTGGTGGTGGTGGTGGTGGGTTTTTACTGGTGGTTGTGGTTTGTGGTGGTGGTGGTGGTGGTTTGTGGTGGTGGTGGTGGTGGTGGGTTTTTACTGGTGGTTGTGGTTTGTGGTGGTGGTGGTTTGTGGTTTGTGGTGGTGGTGGTGGTGGTGGGTTTTTACTGGTGGTTGTGGTTTGTGGTGGTGGTGGTGGTGGTGGGTTTTTACTGGTGGTGGTGGTTTGTGGTTTATGATGGTGGTGGTGGTTTGTGGTGGTGGTGATGGTGGTTTGTTGTTTGTGGTTGGAGGTGGTGGTGGTGGTTTGTGGTTTGTGGTGAGGGTGGTGATGGGTTGTGGTTTGTGGTTGGAGGTGTTGGTGGACTTTTTAATGATGGTTGTGGTTTGTGGTCTGTGGTGGAGTTTTGCTGGCGGTGGTGGTTTGTGGTGGATGAGGTGGTCTTTCCGGTGGATTAGGTGGTCTGTGTAGTGGATAAGGCGATCTGTGTGTTGGGTGAGGCGATCTGTGTGGTGGATGAGGCGATCTTTGTGGTGGATAAGGCGATCTGTGTGTTGGGTTAGGCGATCTGTGTGGTTGATGAGACGATCTGTGTGGTGGATGAGGCGATCTGTGTGGTGGATGAGGCGATCTGTGTGGTGGATGAGGCGATATGTGTGTTGGGTGAGCCGATCTGTGTAGTGGATGAGGCGATTTGTGTAGTGGATGAGGCGATCTGTGTGGTGGATGAGGCGATCTGTGTTTGGTGTTTGAGGCGATCTGTGTGGTCGATGAGGCGATCTGTGTGGTGGATGAGGCGATCTGTGTAGTGGATGAGGCGATCTGTGTGGTGGATAAGGTGTCCTGTGTGGTGGATGAGGCGATCTGTGTGGTGGATGAGGCGATCTGTGTAGTGGATGAGGCGATCTGTGTTTGGTGTTTTAGGCGATCTGTGTGGTGGATGAGGCGATCTGTGTGTTGGGTGAGGCGATCTGTGTGGTGGATGAGGCGATCTTTGTGGTGGATAAGGCGATCTGTGTGTTGGGTTAGGCGATCTGTGTGGTTGATGAGACGATCTGTGTGGTGGATGAGGCGATCTGTGTGGTGGATGAGGCGATCTGTGTGGTGGATGAGGCGATAAGTGTGTTGGGTGAGCCGATCTGTGTAGTGGATGAGGCGATCTGTGTAGTGGATGAGGCGATCTGTGTGGTGGATGAGGCGATCTGTGTAGTGGATGAGGCGATCTGTGTGGTGGATGAGGCGATCTGTGTTTGGTGTTTTAGGCGATCTGTGTGGTGGATGAGGTGTTCTGTGTGGTGGATGAGGCGATCTTTGTGGTGGATAAGGCGATCTGTGTGTTGGGTTAGGCGATCTGTGTGGTTGATGAGACGATCTGTGTGGTGGATGAGGCGATCTGTGTTTGGTGTTTGAGGCGATCTGTGTGGTGGATGAGGCGATATGTGTGTTGGGTGAGGTGATCTGTGTAGTGGATGAGGCGATATGTGTGTTGGTTGAGGCGATCTGTGTAGTGGATGAGGCGATCTGTGTAGTGGATGAGGCGATCTGTGTTTGGTGTTTTAGGCGATCTGTGTGGTGGATGAGGTGTTCTGTGTGGTGGATGAGGCGATCTGTGTAGTGGATGAGGCGATTTGTGTAGTGGATGAGGCGATATGTGTGGTGGATGAGGCGATCTGTGTGGTGGATGAGGCGATCTGTGTGGTGGATGAGGCGATCTGTGTTTGGTGTTTGAGGCGATCTGTGTGGTGGATGAGGCGATCTGTGTAGTGGATGAGGCGATCTGTGTTTGGTGTTTTAGGCGATCTGTGTGGTGGATGAGGCGATCTGTGTAGTGGATGAGGCGATCTGTGTTTGGTGTTTGAGGCGATCTGTGTTTGGTGTTTGAGGCGATCTGTGTGGTGGATGAGGGGATCTGTGTAGTGTATGAGGCGATCTGTGTGGTGGATGAGGCGATCTGTGTGGTGGATGAGGCGATCTGTGTTTGGTGTTTGAGGCGATCTGTGTGGTGGATGAGGGGATCTGTGTAGTGTATGAGGCGATCTGTGTGGTTGATGAGGCGATCTGTGTTTGGTGTTTGAGGCGATCTGTGTGGTGTTTGAGGCGGTCTGTGTGTTGGTTGAGGCGATATGTGTAGTGGATGAGGCGATCTGTGTAGAGGATGAGGCGATCTGTGTAGTGGATGAGGCGATCTGTGTGGTGGATGAGGCGATCTGTGTAGTGGATGAGGCGATCTGTGTTTGGTGTTTTAGGCGATCTGTGTGGTGGATGAGGCGATCTGTGTAGTGGATGAGGCGATCTGTGTTTGGTGTTTGAGGCGATCTGTGTTTGGTGTTTGAGGCGATCTGTGTGGTGGATGAGGGGATCTGTGTAGTGTATGAGGCGATCTGTGTGGTGGATGAGGCGATCTGTGTGGTGGATGAGGCGATCTGTGTTTGGTGTTTGAGGCGATCTGTGTGGTGGATGAGGGGATCTGTGTAGTGTATGAGGCGATCTGTGTGGTTGATGAGGCGATCTGTGTTTGGTGTTTGAGGCGATCTGTGTGGTGTTTGAGGCGGTCTGTGTGTTGGTTGAGGCGATATGTGTAGTGGATGAGGCGATCTGTGTAGAGGATGAGGCGATCTGTGTAGTGGATGAGGCGATCTGTGTGGTGGATGAGGCGATCTGTGTGGTGGATGAGGCGATCTGTGTTTGGTGTTTTAGGCGATCTGTGTGGTGGATGAGGCGATCTGTGTAGTGGATGAGGCGATCTGTGTTTGGTGTTTGAGGCGATCTGTGTTTGGTGTTTGAGGCGATCTGTGTGGTGGATGAGGGGATCTGTGTAGTGTATGAGGCGATCTGTGTGGTGGATGAGGCGATCTGTGTGGTGGATGAGGCGATCTGTGAATTGGGTGAGGCGATCTGTGTGGTGGATGTGGCGATCTGTGTGGTGGATGAGGCGATCTGTGGTGGATGATGTGATCTGTGTGGTTGATGAGACGATCTGTGTGGTGGATGAGGCGATCTGTGTGGTGGATGAGGCGATCTGTGTGGTGGATGAGGCGATCTGTGTAGTGGATGAGGCGATCTGTGTGGTGGATAAGGTGTCCTGTGTGGTGGATGAGGCGATCTGTGTGGTGGATGAGGCGATCTGTGTGGTGGAAGAGGCGATCTGTGTAGTGGATGAGGCGATCTGTGTGGTGGATGAGGTGTTCTGTGTAGTGGATGAGGCGATCTGTGTTTGGTGTTTTAGGCGATCTGTGTGGTGGATGAGGCGATCTGTGTAGTGGATGAGGCGATCTGTGTAGTGGATGAGGCGATCTGTGTTTGGTGTTTGAGGCGATCTGTTTGGTGGATGAGGCGATCTGTGTTTGGTGTTTTAGGCGATCTATGTTTGGTGTTTTAGGCGATCTGTGTGGTGGATGAGGCGATCTGTGTGGTGGATGAGGCGATCTGTGTAGTGGATGAGGCGATCTGTGTAGTGGATGAGGCGATCTGTGCAGTGGATGAGGCGATCTGTGTAGTGGATGAGGCGATCTGTGTGGTGGATGAGGTGTCCTGTGTGGTGGATGAGGCGATCTGTGTGGTGGATGAGGCGATCTGTGTTTGGTGTTTGAGGCGATCTGTGTGGTGGATGAGGCGATCTGTGTAGTGGATGAGGC